TCTTTTTATCTCTTAACAAAGGAAATGGATGATGGGCTCGACGAGGCGTTTTCAAGGTAATTCTCATAACTCCCTTCACGAGTTCAGCACGGGGAGCAGCCCCAGAGACTTGGCTGGTGGCTGAGCTTTTAATAATGCTCCTTAATCTAATCAGGGCCGTGATCTGACCTAGGCAGCTGCCCCATCATTGCCTGGGCTGGTAATTGAAAGATAGGCTTTAAGGCTGCCTGATAAGCCAAATATTTTGACAACCTTTTAAGGATGGAGAGAGGCTGTGTGTGATAGGGAATTTAATTCCCCGAGCAGTTGCTGTGTCTGCTCCCACTCACCGAGGCTTTTTCAGGCTGCTGATCCCAGCTTCTGGCACTTGGGGCTTTGCTCTTCCCCAGCCCAGAAATTCAGGGGGTGTGGGGTTTATTCCTTTTTCCACTCCAAACTGAAGGCTTCCCTGACCGTGTTGCTGAGCAAAGCCAAACAAACCCATTTCCTTTCGGGTGGGTTTTCCTGGCAGGGTTGGTGTGGTTTACATGGCTCCCATCCTCCTCTTCCTTCTCCTCTTCCTCCTCCTCTTCCTCCCCCTGGGGCTGGGAGGTGCTGGAGGAGGGAGTGAGGCAGGAGAAAGGTTTGCAGCAGCTCCTGCTCAGCCCTTGGGGTCCCATTTGGTCTCTCAGGGATGATTTTACAGCTTCCCCTTCCCCACAGCCTCGTCCCAGGGCTGATTTATGTCCTGCTCTGTTCTCCCTGCCCCACTGGGGCTGCTCTGGCGCTGCTTTGGGGCTTTATTCTGCTCTGCTCCACCACCCTCAGCCCCTGCTGACTCAGAGTTTGGGCTGCTCCCAGATCCATCCCTGCCACATCATCACAGCTGCACCTTTCTCATCTTTATCCAAAACTGGGCCTTTTCTCAGGCTCTTTTTGACCTTGTGCCTCCCCCTGGACGAAACCCCAAACGTCTGAGTGACGCCTCGGTATTCTCACACAGCAACAACCCGGGGCTGCTTGGGCTTTGTGTGACATTTGGGATGAAAAGGCTGATTCTGGGGCTGCTGAGCATCAGCTGGGGCTGCTGAACATCAGCTGGGGCTGTCCTGAGGCAGGGACAGTCCCTGTTCCGGGGCTGGCTCCGGGGAGGAGAGCACTGCTCTCCCGTGGCCTGGCCAGCCTTGCACATTCCCGGCGTGCCTGCAGGGGAAATGCTGGGAGAAGCCAGCAGCAAGGCTGGGGAGTGCTGTGGGTGTCCTGTGCCAGCTCCCCCCGTTGTCTTTTGGCCCTTCCTGAGCGTTCCCGAGGCACTGGGGGGGGTTGGGGTGGGGAGGGCAGCGCTGGGGCGCAGCAGGGACCGCGTTTCACTCCGTGTTCTGTGTCCCCCCAGGCTGGCCCAGTCCAGGACAAACCCCCAGGTCCTGGACACGGGGCTGACTGCTCAGGACATCCAGAGTGCAGAGACTCTGTCCCCTATGGACTGGAACAAAATCGACCCTGGCACGGCAGAGAAGGACGATCTGTTCATGTTCTGAGAGAGGAGAAGCCCCCCGAGGCCGTGGCCTGGATCCTGCTGGAAGCAGGGAACCTTCCAAGGGCTCTGGAGCAGCTCAGAGGATGTCACAGCCCAGCTTAGACCAAAGCTTCAGAAACCTAACACGGATTTTTATACCTTGCTCTTAGGGAAAGCACGAGATGTCCTTGGATGTATTTATTCACAGTTTACAGTGCTGCTGGGAGGTGTGGGGAGAACCAGGGGGGAGCTGCAGCAGCGCCTGCTCCTCCTGCAAACAGCCCAGGCACCACCACAGCCCCTCTCAGCATCCCCCACCCAAGGGCTGGGATGAAATCCAGGGCTCTGGAACAACACATCACCTGCCTGGGCAGGGAGGGGATTTGCAGCAGCTGCTGCCAGTGTGAAATCAAAGAGGGAGCAGAGCTGGAGTTTTTGTGTGAGTGTCTGGGGCACTCTCACGGCTGCCAGTCGCCCTGCGGCTCCCTGCGGGAATTGATGCTTTTTTAACCCAAAGACTCTACGAAGTTTTGCACTTTAAAAACTTGAACTGAAAGCAATGGTCCGAATTGTCAAGGTAAGCAGTGCCTGGAGCTTCTCTTCAGAAGCAATTTTACCCAAAAAGAGCCCACCCTGGCCATGCTGCAGCTCTGGCTCCGAGCTGAGCCCTCACCTCCGGCGCGACTCCGGATCCTAAAGCTCCCTCTCACCTTTAAAAGCCAAACCAGCAGGGAGGGAGGATTTGTTTTGCTGAATTCTGCTGGGAAGGGCAGCTTGGGAGGGCCACAGATCCGTGTTCCCAGCCTGAGCCGCTGGGTTTGGCCGTCCAGGACTTGTTCCTGCCTCGGAACCGCGGGGTTGTTGCTCAGTGGATGGGATCGGATCGGGCAGGAGCGATACCTGGCTGTGCCCCCCCCTTGTCCCTGACACCTCCCAGGGGGCTCAGGAAGCTCCATCTACCCCTGGAACTGAAAAACCAGCACTGGAGGTGTAAAGCTTATGCTAATTAAAAGCTTAAGTTTAATGATCCTAAAGAGTCGCGCTGACACCTCGCAGTGTTTGTGGCCTTACATGAAGTGTACTAATCTGTTTTATAGATTTCTAACTTGGGTTTGAAGCACTAATTCGTTCCCCAGATAGCTCTTTTAGAACTCCCTTAAAACTGCTCGCAGGGAGGGAAAAAATCCTTCTCTGTCAGCTGTAAGAATTCATTAGGAAGCAGCCGAGTGACTCTGACCAAGATTTGAGATCTGTTTTTTCCCCCCACCCAAGTGTGAGTGTGAGAAGGTGTGGAGGACTCGTGGAGCTGACTCATCTGTGCTCTGTGGATCCTGCAAAGTGGTAGTTTAAAGCAGTTTTAAAGCAGTTTTAAAGCAGTTTTAAAGCAGTTTTAAAGCAGTTTTAAAGCAGTTTTAAAGCAGTTTTAAAGCAGTTTTAAAGCAGTTTTAAGCAGTTTTAAAGCAGTTTTAAGCAGTTTTAAAGGAGTTTTGCATCTCAGGATGGCTGTGCCCAGGATTCCCTGGATGCTGAATGCAGCAGCAGCCTCCTGGGCTGGCAGGAGCCAGCAGAGCTCGTGCTGCAGAAGCCCAGCAGTGGTTGTAGCCCCCAGGGAGCTCTGATCTCCGCAGGAAACTGGGATGGGGTGTGAGGGTTTCTCTGTGCACTGCCCTCTCTCCTTCCCTAGAGGTTCCAGCAGCAGATCCTGAAATCCACAACACTATCTGTGCGTGTCTAGAGTGGGGTTTGTTTTTATTTTTTGATGCTGTAAAGAATATTCTGTACTGAGGGGAATAAAAACTCTGCCGGTTTTTGGAGCCTCTGTGCTGGGTGACTTTATTTTCCCTTTAATGTGTGGCATTAAAGGCAATTATTTTCCTTAATTTGTGTCTGTGGGTGGTTGGGCTCTGCCTGGCCTTGGTTCGTGGCAGGATGAGATCAGGATTGTCCTGGGGAGGCGATTCCAGGAGAGCTGGAGCTGGGCTCTGCTCGCAGGGGATGCACAGAGGGATGCAGCTCCTGGCCCTGGCTGGCTGCTTTGGCCTCCAGGTGAGGCTGGTGAAGGGGGAGAAGAGGCAGGTCGGTGCTCCAGGCTCACCTGCATGGAAAGAGCGACATCAAACCCCCCCAGACCTCTTCACTGTCAGTTTCTGAGTCACAAAGTGCTTTTATCTGGGGGCAGCTGAATTTGTGCAGTTTCCCTGTGGATGGAGAGAGCCCAGCAGAGGTCTGGCTGCTCAACCCCCTGCAGATCCTGCAGCTGGAGAAATCCCTTTGGGTTTCTGTGCCACCCCTTCCCTCTGTACCACCAGAGAGGTGAGGAGGGGAAAAGATGGATTTGAAAAGCTCAGCTTTAAAGGCCACAGGCTCAGGACAAGACTCCTGTCCTGGCTGAGGGAGAGGGGTGGGAAGAGCCTTGCTGGGATGGAGCTGCAGGGCCTCTGCTGCCTGCAGAGCCAGGTGAGAAAAGCAGGATTTGAACACCAAATTATTCCCCAAACCCCTCGTTTGTCCCAAAATTTCACCAGCACGGTTTCGGAGCACGGGGGATTCTCCTTCCTCTCCCTCCTAACCAGACACTGCAAACTCCACATCTCACACTTTCTGCCTCCAAGAGGGTTTTTTTTTTCCACCTTTCCAGCCCTCACCATCAGCAGTTCCTTCCTCAGCAAACACTCCAGCCTCCACAGCAGACTTCTCCCGACGTTCCCTGCCAGCCGCAGTTTCTGTCTCAGCTGCTCCCATCCCACTCCAGGCGAAGTTTTTGGTTTAAAATCCTGCCTGAGGATTCTTTGCAGCTCTTTGTGTGTCTGTGTTTCCATCTGCCTGCGCTGGTGCTGCTGGAACGGCCCCAAAGGCGCTGCTGGGCACGGCTTGGGTGAGCTCCGAGCCCTCCTCCTTCCCTGTTGCCAGTGTCACCTCCCAGTGCTCCCAGTGTCACCTCCCAGCTCCCAGTGTCACATCCTCATTCCCAGTGCTCCCAGTGTCACCTCCCAGCTCCCAGTGTCACCTCCCAGTGCTCCCAGTGTCACCTCCCAGCTCCCAGTGTCACCTCCCAGTGCTCCCAGTGTCACATCCCCATTCCCAGTGCTCCCAGTGCTCCCAGTGTCACATCCCAGCTCCCAGCGTCACATCCCAGTGTCACTGGGCCACTCCCAGTGTCACCGAGCCACTCCCAGTGTCACGTCCTCGCTCCCAGTGTCACATCCCAGCTCCCAGTGTCACCTCCCCTATTCCAGTGTCACATCCCAGCTCCCAGTGTCACATCCTAGTGTTACTGAACCACTCCCAGTGCTCTCAGTGTCACATCCTCACTCCCAGTGTCACCTCCCCTATCCCAGTGTCACCTCCCAGTGTCACTGGGCCACTGCCTGGATCCCAGCCACCACCCCCAGGTCTAATTAATGGAATAAATTGTGTAAAAGTCCTAAATCTGCTCCAAGGTGGCACTTCTGTCACTTCTCCAGCACAAGTGACAGCAAGGAATAAAACAATTGCGTCTCTGGCATTTTTTATTACTTTTAACGTGCTGTCTTTCCCTTTTATTTTTTTGTGTGAGTTACTGGAAATTTAAATGATAATGGTATGCTTCACTTAAAGAAAGTATCCATAGCAACAGGAACATCTAAATTATTGCAGGCTGATCACTTCTCTGCTGGAGTCACATCACACTCCTTTCAAAGGCAGTCCCAGAGGTGCAGGGTTTTAATAGACTTTTTTTTTTTTAAATCTTTTTTTTTTTTTGCAAATAAACAAGTGAACACACAGCACTTTCTCCATCACCTGCAGAAAGATCTAAAGTGAATAAGTGCTGGCTCAATTTGCTACCCAGAGAGGAGGAGCTGCAGGTTTGATCTTTAATCAGACTTTTTCCTCGGAGTTGCTGGTTATTCCATGTGGAATTGTGTCCAGCTCAGCTCCTGGAAATTCTCTGGGACCAGGGGAAAGCAGCAAGGGAAGATCTCTGATCCCCTGAGGAACATCTTTCTTTGATTCCCAGCTGGCCACGGGTTTAGTTCTGGTTTATTCTTTCCAAATCCCTGCTTGACAGGACAAGGGGGAAGGGGTTAAAGCTCAGAGCGAGGGGGATCAGATGAGATATTAGGGAGAAATCCTTCCCTGGGAGGGTGGGGAGGCCCCTGGAGTGTCCCAGGCCAGGCTGCAGCACCTGGGATGGGGGAAGGTGTCCCAGGGCTGGCAACGATGTGATTTTTATTTCCCTTCCCACCCAAACCATTCCATGATCCCCCAGAAAACGACTTCAGCAGCTGCCTGACCTTCCACAGCCCATGGCTGAGAGAACACCCAGATATTTTTCTTCCATCCTCAGCGACTTTTGGGCTGAAACAGCTTTAAAAAATTCCTTCACTTCAATCACGACAAAAGCCCGAGTGCTGCATGCTCCGAGCTGTCAAACGTGAGAAACAAACTCGCTGCAAGAAATAGAAAGGCTTCTTTTCCTTTTCTTTTTTTTAATTCCAATCTCAATTATAGGAATCAGATGCGTCATCTGGATCAATAGTAGGTTGAGATTGCTCAGCCAGGAAGAGTTTGGATATAAAAAGCTGCAGCTGAGAGGCTTCCTCCGAGCTCATGTGTTATTGTCAGTGGAATGATGACACTGAGCTGTGTTTGCAGCCTGTCCTGGCCAGCTGAGGGGAAGAGCAGAGCTTTAATCAGTGTCCTGTGTGTAGGAACAGGATCCTGAGCCCAGGCAGATCCTGGCATGGTCAGGAGCAGCAGGGATTTGCCTTTGATTCCCACTTTGATTTGAATTTTGCTGTGGAACATTCCCGGGTCCTGCCCCGCACCATTCACGTGGATCTGTCTGCACAGGGCAACGAGGCAGCCTGAAAACACATGAAATATTTCTGATCACTGCATTCTTCCCAGAACAAGATGTGCAGATGAGTGGCTGGGGCTCAGCCAGCCCAAAGGGAAATGTTAAAAACAAGGGAAATATGAAATTCTTGGGGTGATTTGGTTTGTGAGGAAGGTTGGGGGAGGCTGCAGATTTTGGGAACGGAGTGAGGCGGTGCCAGGGGCCAGGTGAATCTTCTGTCAGCCACTTTCAGATCAGCCTGGCTTCAGGTGAGAGTTAAAAACAGAGCACAGCAGGTGGGTGGTTGGAGAGGGATGAGAACGATGCAAAAAATCTGCTGGACCTGCAGATCCTGCTTGGGTTTGAAAATCACAGCTCCCGTGAAATCACCCTCTAATAAAGAGCCTGAAACAGGAACCTGTCATTTCGTGGTTGCTGCATGAGGCAGAGGATGATCCAAGTGGCTCTGGCAGAGCTCCGTGGTGCAGCTGGAGTCAGGAATATTTCCTGGGCATGGATCACACCGAAACTCAGAGCTGGGGCTCTCCCTGCCTCCTCAGCTCCCTCCCAGCTGCTCCACATCAGCTCAGGTCTCCCCCTCCACAGCTGGAGACCAAATCCACCTTCCCACCTCTCCCAGGAACCAAATAAATCCCAAAGCCACAGCCACAGGCTCTGGAAAGGATTTGTTACCTGTGGGACGGGGCCAGGTTTGATCCTTTCACATTTATGTTGGAGAATCTGTGAGAGTTTGGGGGGTAAAATGTGTTTGTGTGTGAAAAGAGCCCGTGCTTGGCTTTTAGGGGACGTGAGAGGCCAGGCTTTGTCTCTTCATGCTGGTTAAACACGGTGGTGGTGGACATCAGGATGGAATTGGGGAAGGTCTGTGAGAATCTGGGTCGCTCTGTGGGCTCCTGTTGGTGTTTCCAGCTGCTCTGGCTCATGGAATGTGCTGGGAGAGCTCCTGGGGCAGGCAGGAGAGCTGGAGTCACCCCCCAGCTCTGCCAGCCTCGGTGAAATGTCACTGAATCCTTCTCTTCGTCCCTCAGAGCCTCGGGAGGAGCTGCAGGCTGGGCCAGGGGCTGGGAAACGTCCAGGCTGAGCATCCCCTGCCTCCCACCGCGGCTCTGAGAGAGAAAATCTCCTTCCAATGCCCATTTCAAGGCGCCTGCCATGATGAGCCTGGGGTTTATCTGCTTTGGGCCATCTTAGGAAGGTGCTGGAGCCATCCCACATCATCTGGAGAGGAGAGGAGCTCCTGGCTGTGGTGAGAACATTCTGCTCTGCCTTTCCTCAGCTGGCTCTGAGATGTCACCAGAGCCACCAGGCCACACACAGCTCTCAAAAGTGTTTTTAAAAGATCATTTCCTCTCTCTGAAAGGCCTCTCCTTTTTGAGGAGTGAGGAGGTGGCAGCTGCCTTGGGAGGAGAGTCCCCTCCGTGTGACCCGAGTGCCACCAGCCGCTCCATCAGCAGCCCTGGCTTGTCCTGCTGTCTCCAGGAGTCTCAGCAAGGGATGTTTGCAGGCTGAGGTTCCTCCTGTTTCATCCCTGGGAGCTCAGAGCCTGCACTGGGCTGCTGCAGGATGAAATGGAAAGAGCCCTGAGCAAGTTTAGGGGAAGGCTCTGGAAGCTGCGAGGCTTTAAAGGCTGAGCTGGGTTTGCCTCGGGCCATGCACACGGCGCTTCCCCGGGCTCTGCAGGCATCTCCCAGGCTTTGGGATGCTCCTGGATGCTGCAGCTCCGTCCATCCCGCAGATGAGGAGTCCCAAATCCACCCCCTGTGTGCCCCACGGCCCTGAGGGCTCACTGGGACCACTCAAGTGGTCACAGACACAAAGCCCCAACCTCAGATGTGCAGAGGTGACCTCGCTCCTCCCTCCCAGGCAGCTCAAAATGAGCAATTCCAGCCTCTCTCCCCTGGTCCTGCAGATTCCTCGTGCCCCACAGGAGATCAGCCTGTCCTGAGTGGCTTCAAAGAGCCCCTAAACCTGGGAGAAAATCAGCGCTGGGGGGTTGGCATTGCTCCACCACTGGACCGTGTGTCCCCTCGGGTCTCACCAAGAAATTTTGGGGTTTTTTTTCTCCTTCCCCAAGCCAGGACTGAAGGACACAGCCCTGAGCCATTAATTCCCTTCCCCCAGCATTCCTCCATCCCCCTCTCTCTCACATTCCTGATACCTGGCAGGTATTTTTACAATCCCATAATTGTTGTTTTCCCCAGCTCCCAGTTTTCTTTTTTGTTTTTTCTTTTCGTTCCAGCCTGGCCACCTGGGCAGAGCCTTTTCCATCTGTATTCAGCCTGCGTGGCTGGAGCAGCCCCTGGGAGACAGCACTAAAATCTGTGAGCTCCTGCAGCACAACATCTCCTGGGTGAGGGTCCAAGGAAGAGAATTTTGGGGTTTTTTTCCCATGAATTAAGGGTTGCCCTGCAGTTTTAAAGGAGTAAAAAAAGGAAAGATGGAATCTGTGGGTGCCTGTAGGAGATTTGTCATTTTGTGGAGTGATGAGGCTGAGCCAGCACCACGGAGACAACAGGAAGGAAAAAACATTTCCCTGGTTCACACCAGCAGAATAAAATTATTTCATTTTCTACTGACCCAGGACAAATTGAGAGGCCACTGAGGACATTTCTGAACGGAGCTGGAGGATCAAAACCCTTCTCCCAGCAGCAGCAGGGGCTGTGTGACCACTCAAGGACCACAAGCAGCTCCTGGGTGGGACTGGGAGAGCAAACTCCAGGGTGAGGGGAGGCTGAGGCAGCTGCAGGCTGTGGCTGTGTGACATGAGCAGCGTGGGACAGCAGCAAAATGACAACAATTCAGTGCTGACCTCCCCAGGCTCTGCTTAAATTTAGTGCAGACAGTGATTCATCCCAGCCAGGTCAGGAGGGACCCGTTCCTCAGGTCAGGACAGATGAACTTCACCCTCAAGGTGACTGGAAAGTTATTTTGGGCTGTAGAGAACCCTCTCCTTATTCCAGTGACTATTTCAGTGTTTATTTCAGTGCTTTCAGAGCACAGCTGGAGGGGTTTGGCCCCACAAGGGGAGATGGGCACTCAGGGAAAAACTGGATTTGTTTTCTTCCTCCCTGACTTATCTTGGGGTCTGCTTTGCCTGACAGGTGAAGTCTTAGGCTGGAAATTATTCTTAGACCTTTCCCACTTGGGATCTTATTTCTGAAGCCATCTAAAATAGGCTGTTGCTCCACATTCACAGGAGCAAATTCACAGCGTTCCTCTGGCCCTCTCCTTATTTAAGCAGGGCAAAATGGAGCACAGGAGTTCTGGTGATGCTGATTTTAATGAAAAAACCAGGAAAAAAAAAAAAAAGCAAAAAAGCTGCAGCCTGCTCCATTAGTCACCTGGTGTTACAGGAAAGTAATAAACTAGGAATGTTCCTGCTCTCTCCTCCATGCACCTTATGTTGTGTTTCTGCTTTTGTACCATTTTTCAGCGTCTTTGATATTTTTCCCTGGCACGCAGGAGGGAAGATTGTTGAGATGTAGACATTTACCTTAATTAAACAAGATTCCTCTTCTTGTGAGAGCTCGTTCCTACACAATTCTGGTGTGAGGGACTCAGGTTGTTATCTCAGATGTGAATGGGGTTTTTTCCCCCTCTCCTGGGACAGAACATGAGTCTGGCTGAGGTGATGGGGTTTCCATTGTCTCTCCCCTGCCTGCAGAGGACTGGTGGGATTCTCAGCAAGGCTTCTGTGCATCCCTGAGTGTGATTCTTCATTCAGAAAATTAAAATCTTTTATGTAGGCATGTGGAGTTAAGGGCAAAGCAGCCAGACCTGCAGATCAGTGTGTTATGATGCCCCTGAATTCAGAGCTTTGGGGGACCAAATATCCCCATTTTGTGTGGTTTGGGTGTGGCTGGAGCATTTCTGTAGCTTTAGGTGAGGCAGCTGCTTTCTCTGCCCCGTCCATTCACCCCTGACTGGCACAGAGGGGGCTTAGGAACCCCTTTTTTTTGCAGGTTTAGCTCATTGAAATTCTCTAAATGAAATCAGGACAAGCCCCACTTCCAGTTTATCCATTTCTGCAACTTCCAGCCTGCAAATTCCTCCCTGGCAACACAGGATGGCCAAGAGATGCTGAGGGGATCATTTGAAGGAGGAGAAAGGTGTTCTTTGGAGCAGCCTTTCTTCACCTTTATCCTTTCCCTCTTTCTCCATCAGTTTTCCCACACCTGGTGCTGCTCCAGCTATGCTGGCTGAACCCCTCTGGCTTCTCCACCCTCCCTGCACAGGTCACAATGTGCAGATCATTTCTTTCCTCGCAGCTCCAGTTCCTTTCCAGCCTACACAATTCATCCTTTGGGGTGTTTGGCTGGAACAATCCCCCAGCACTCGGTTTAATCTGCCAGGCTCTCCTGGCCCTCCATTCCTGCTCCTTAAATACCTGAGGAGCGCTGCAATCCATGTCCAGATAACGAGCATCCTTAATTACCCGGGCTCCTCCGCAGCCTCCTGCCCTCTGCTCTGGATTTCTACAGCCTTAAAACAATCGATACCACAGAGATTTCTCCTGTCCTGAGTCATTACAGGCCATCGGGGATTGTTTTGTTCGTTCTCCCCGCTCGGAGTTTAGGGCTGCTGTTGGCAGAATGGCTCGGCCAGGTTTAAATGTCGGGGTTTGTCCCGATCTGATCCCAAGCAGATAAACCAGGGGCAGCTCCTTCCTTCCTTCCTCTCCTTCCTTCCTTCCTCTCCTTTCCCCCTCCCCTCTCTGGGTTGGCTCTGCCCCTGAGCCTCTCTCCCATCTGCCTGCTCCATCCTTTCGTGGCTGTGATGCCCAAAAATCCCAGCTGGAGCGATCCCGGGAGCCAGAGAGGCTTTTCTGGAGCTCTGTTCCAGCACTGAACCAGTTTTCTGCTCTGAGAGAGGAATAAACATCAAAGCTCTTTAAAAGATAGTCTGGAGGCTCGAGCGCAACAATTGGGCCAAACTCCTTTGCCCTGAGTGTTATCTCTCACTCTGTGCTTTGTTTCCTCACAGAAAGGTGGATATTAAATTCTATTTTTCTTATGCCCATTAAAAAAAAAAAAAAGTAATTTTCTCTAAATTATTTCTTCCAGAGCTGCTAAAAAACCAAGAATCATAATGCAGCAGGACCCCCATTTCCCCAGTAATTACACTCTGCCTCCTAACTCCTTCAACAACAATTTCTCAATTTATTTTACTTCCATCTGGAACTGCAGTCACGGGCAGAGCTGGGCTCTGTCTTATTATTGCACAGACAAAATTGTTTTTAAAATGCAATTAAACATTTACCTTGAAGACAATGCTTTGTCTTCTTTAAGAAGCATAATATCTTAATTTAACCTAATCTGGAAAACCTTCCATTTCCAAGCTTTTACCTCCAAGACAATGCTATGCTAAAACACAAAGCATAACAAAAAAGATTTCCTAATTTAACTTAATTAAAAGATAAGCCTCCAACTTTTCCACCAGAGCTGCCTGGAATGAGGAGCGAGGCGTAGCCCTTTGGTTTGCTCAGAATTGTCTATTTTATCATCCCTCTGCTTTGCTCTCTGCTGTCGATTTTTTTTATTATCCTCCTTGATGCCCCCAAATCCTCTTAGTCCAACCTTCCCCATCCTGGGCCCTTCCCTAAGAAGATCAAGGGACCAGCACTGGAAGAGCAGAGAGATTTGGTTTGATGGGGCTTTGGTTGGTTGGTTTGGGTTTGTTGGGTTGTTTTTTTTTTTAACAATGAGACAAAATGAAGCCTTACCTGATGCGTGAGGTTTCCCCAGAGGGGAGAGGAGATTTGAGGAAGGTGAAGGATTATTTCTGTTCAGTCTGAGCTCAGGGAAAGCTCAGGGAGCGATGGTCTCTGGCTGGTGATGGTCGCTGAGGTAGAAACGCTGCCAAAATCCATCTGTGCTTAAAGTAGTGGGGCTGGCAGGGCTCTGTCCTCATCCTGAGCACAACCAAAAACAAACCGTGAGGAACCTGCCGAGGAGGAGCAGCTCCATCCCTCCCTCCTCTTCCTCACGGAGCACGGCCCAGGCCGCGGTGCCCGCAGCTCCCTCACGCTCGGCAGGCCCTGCCTTCAACCACGGCGGAAAGAACGATGGCAAACCCAAATCATCGAGATGCAAATCTTCCTCTGAGGAAGGAAGATTCCATCTTCCGCCTTCAAGATCTGCTGGGCAGCCACTGGAGGTGAAAACTTCGGGGATTTTTTGGGTTTATTTGGACTAAACCTGAGGCAGTTGTGGAGCTGTGAGGAAGGTGAAGTAGGACGACGGGCGGCCTGGGGTCAAAGGCAGCTCCACGATCCCTTCTAGCCCTTAAAGCGGTTTTCAGAGGAAAATGACAATATTAGTTGTGTCTCTGGTTCTCAGGGGGGAGCGTGGGGCCCGCAGCAGCCCCAGCAATCAGCTCAGGTATTTGTCCCCCGCGGTGCTGGTTATTGTGCAGCAGGCACACACTGAGCGCAGCCAGACACAAACCACAGATGATTTCTTTCCTCTCAGCTCCGGCTCCTTTCCAGCCTACAAAATGTTCCCTTTTAGCTCTTCCAAGTTTAGTCACAGCCGTTCTCTGGTGGCTGTGTTTATCCTTTCCTGAGAGCCTCATCCTGCCCCTTCCACCCATCCAGTTATTCCTGAGGGGTTTCAGATGCCTCCGGGTGTGGGTGATGCCCTTTCCTCCTTTTCACTGCTAATTCTGCAAGCTTGAGGGTGTCTTTTGTAACATTTACAAGCAGAAACTCTAATTCATCACCTTCCCCTATGGTACAGTATTAACTTACAGGGTCACTCAAATTTACCGGGTGATACATTGAAGGTTAAGGTGTGGATTTAACGATTTGGGATTAGGAAGCGTTTCACAGCACTTGAACGTGGGCTTCTATAAACCAGAAAAGAGGTTCCCAAGGCACCTCCACAGCCCCTCCCCTCGTGCCAGGCAGCGAGGCAGTGCCCCCCAGGGTACCGAGCTCCTCGTGGGGGATGTGCGGGTAAATCGGTCCCTCAGAGCCCTCACGGTGCGTGAGGCTCGGAAACGGCACCAACAGCTCCCCCTTACCCGCTGAACCCTCTCAGCCTCTGCAGCCGCCGCGTGCCCGCAGCCCCTTTTTAAAGTAGCGGCGCCCCCCCTCCGCCAATCACAGCGCGGACGGGGCGTCCCTCGCAGCCAATGGGAGGCGATGACTGGAGAAAAGGGGCGGGGCTATCCCTCCTCGAGCTCGAGCCGGGCAACTGTGGTAAACAAGGGGGAGGTCCCCGCGGCTTCCCTGGCGCGGGCAGCAGCCAATGGGCGATCCCAGGCGGGGACAACCAGCCAATAGCGAGCGAGGGCGGGCAGAGCCGTGCGCGCTGATTGGCTGGCTCGGCGGCGGAGTGACCGTTGG